TCATTGTTGGCAACTTGATGTTTTTCTTTTAAAACGGCTATTTAAAAACACAAAAACCTGTTTTGTGTGTTAATTGGCTTCTTCAGTTTTGGTTTGCCCATGGGATGTTTTTTCTTTCACCTGGGAACGGTTCCCACCAGTGATATTTATCCTTCCCTATCTGCTCTTAGTACAAAGGCGTTCTTCAGATGATGGTAGACCTTCCTGGGCCAATTCCAGCCTGCTAAAGTGAGCAGAAAGAGTACAGTTGTATTTGGGGGTTGGATTAGGCATTATTTGCTCTGAGGTATCTGTTTGTCCTAAAAAAATGCCCAAAGGATTCAAGGGTTAGTTCAGAAACATTGAACCCAATCCCATTGCGAGTAGTCAGAGGAACGGGGCACAGATGTCTCGGTTGGTTGACTTTCAGGGATGTGAGATAAGCTCACGAAGGAGCACTGTAAGGATGGATTTTGTATTTTAAAAAAGAACAAATCTTTGTCATACAAGCCATCAAAACTAGTTCATCATCCTGTATGAGCAGGATAGTAAGGACTTTGGATACCTTAGACAGTCCTTTGCTCCTCGCTACCCCAAAATACGGCCATCAACTTTGAAGCTGAACGTAAGTGGAGAGTTTGGCCAGGTATTTGCCATCCTAAAGAGCGAAAGGCTTAGAGCCAGATTAACGTGTCCTTCCCCTTGTAAAACGGCAGTTGTTGGTATTTCCATAGCAAATCACGAGAGATGCTCTGTAAGAACCTGTACCACTGTCATATCAGATCAACTCAACAAGTCCCATCTATGCTTTTCAGCGTAATACAAATAAATAATAACTGTGTGAGTAAGCGTACAAATAAAAAGATTTCCCTGAGGAGGTGAGTCACCCAGGTCACTTTGTTCCCATCAGCCGCATTCCCAACTTTATACTCGGGTGAGTAAAGATTCGTGAGTTCAGCTTTGATCTGTTCCCTTCTTACCCCAGATATCTCACTGCTGGGCACTGGAGGCTCTTACTGCCCCAGCTGCTCATCTGCGTAGGGTAAATCAGCTCACGTCTGCTTAGCTGTGCTCACAGGGAAGCCGACTGAGGGCTTGGGAAGCTAAATTTCCTTTTTGGTTAGGTATGGTAATCCGCTATTATTATTTATTAACCTATTTGTCGGACGATAGAATCAGCTTTTTAATAAATATTAATTCTTCTCCCTGGTTTTAAATCTCAACTTTAAAAAAAACAAAGCGGTTTGCCAGCATTTCACTGAACAGAGGTTTCCCTCACCTGTCGTCCATTTATTTCCCTCATCCCTTACTAACTTGCTTTTTTTCAACCTCCTCTTGATAATCAAAAGAGCATTTATAATGGCAGGGACAAATACACTTCTGAAAGTAAAATGAAGAGCCTAAATAAAAAATCACAGAACAAGAGGCTCATCCCACTCACTCTTTCATATTTCATTATTTGATAACATCAGAAGATGAGTCCATCAGAGCTGCTTGGGCAAAGGCAAACAGGAGTGTGTCTGATCAATATTTATTAATACTTTCAAAGACAAGGGAGGCAAAGTTGAGCAGACTTCGTAATGGAGTGAATAATTACTCATGCAAATAGGCTTTGGCCGAAGGCAATGCCATGCCAAGGCGGCAGCTTTTTAATTGCACCCAATTAAAAATGCATACCTTTCACTCACTCGCACTGTCTCGCCTGCTCCCTTTTTTATTTTGTAGGAGATTTTTAATTAAAAAATAATCTGATCCTGAAAAGAGTGACAGGTGAATCCTGTGTCTATTAGGTGCAGAATTCTTCAGTAATCCAAGATTTGGGATGAGGAAGAGGAAGGCAGCTGTAAGGCCATGGGGTAAAGATGGGCTTGCGTGGCTGAGCTTGGCTGGTGAGCGGTCTGGGCTGCAGGCAGAACAGCTTTAGTTTTTGCTTTTTCTTCTCTTAAGGTGCTCTGTCACTTTGGGAAGGCCACAAGTCCTGTGCTCTGGAGCAAAGACTTGTCACCTCTAGAAAGATGGCCCCATCCAAGGTATCCTCGCTGTTACTTCATTGAAAACCCAGCCAGAGCTGGCAGAGGGAAAACCTCATTTCGCATCTGCTCAGCATAAATTCCCTGCAGGTGATCAACGTTTCCTAAATCTAAGTATTTACCTTGGCAATCTTACTGGTTTTTCTACACATTGTGTGTATAACTGTACTCAAGATATTGCCAGTACCCTCAAAGTTAACTTTATATTAGATTTCTGACCGTGTACTGAAGCATCTTGATAAATACCCAAATTTTCTACAACATGGAGGGTAACAGCAGCTTCTGGGCTCTCGGTGAATGAGCCACACGTCAAGGTGCGGTGCCGGAAGGATGCTACAGAGCCGACTGGTAGGTAGCTGCCATTCAAACCTTGGCTCTTAGTTTCTGCAAGGTCCCAGATAACACTGTTTAAGTCTGCCAAGTTCAAGCATAAACGTTACAGGACTAATTATAGCTAAAGAGGGGAGCTGAAATTAAAACTCATCCTTAGACCACTGACCCACAGGGCTTTACCGATCCCTGCCTGTAACCAGATATCCCTTAAACTGCTTTAGCTGAAAAAATGAGCTGTGCTTTTCTGGCTGGGAGAGAGTTTACAGTAGAATCATAGAATCATGGCATGGTTTGGGTTGGAAGGGACCTTCAACATCATCTAGTTCTAACCCCCCTGCCATGGGCAAGGACACCTCCCACTAGTCCAGGTTGCTCAAAGCCCCGTCCAACCTGGCCAGTAGTGTCAGTGTTATCAAGGAGGATGAGTCTGAGCCTCCACTGTGCCTTTGTCACCTGCCACTGCATTGCTGCTTATGGAATTGCATGAGGTCTGCTATTTTTTGCTTGTTATGTGTCTACCTGCAAGAGGAGCCAAGATTTAAAGAATATCCATCAGTGTAGCAGGAGGTGGATTGGACACACAGGCCTTACCGTGACATGCTCCCGAGTTTGTTTTTCCACGCCAAGAGGTTCTCAGGGAGTTCTCCACACATGTCTCAGGAGAGTGCTGGGGTTTTGTCGTTGTGCCAGGATTACAGCGTTAGCATCGTTAGCAACTAAACTGCTAAATCTGTTCCTGTGATTGGAGGTGAGGTTTGGTTTAGTCTCCCTCTCCCTGAATCCAGGACTGAGAAATATCCTCCCGTGGTTTTGTGGCTTCTGCTAGTGATGTTTTATCAAAAGCAAAGATTCGATGCTGTGGCTCTGCAGGGGACCGGGTCAGCCTTGCAAAACGCTTCTCGTCTGAGCTGCGTAGGTATTTATTCCATTTATTCCACCAAGACCTAAGGATTAGACTGCAGCCTGCCCTTGTCCTCCTGCAGAAGTGTGGAGAAGTCATGCAGAGACCTCCTCTTCAGCTGCTCTGGCCCACTTCTGCCTTGCTTTGCTCTTCAGCCAAAGAAGTGCTGGGTACTTGGCTGAAACGAGTTGTCGCTGCCGTGTGACGCCTGCAGACAGACAGGGATCTTTTCACTTCTCCTTTCCTGAGCTTTTCAGATCCTTTTTGCATTACAAGGATGTATAACATCTGGATGAAGCTATAAAGTTAACCAATTCTAAAAAAAAAGAGGGAGTATTTTCTTTACATGCACCACTTTTTTTTTGTTGTTTTGATCCCCCAAACAGTCCTAAACCCCCAGCCAAGGTTCATCGCTTGCTGGAACTTGCTGCAGTAGAGCCATATGTGAGAACCTTGCCCTTATCCCCGACCTGGAAGGATCTGCCCAGGGTTTGGAACTCCTCTGCCTAAAGGAGCTTTGTAAAGCCTTATATTTTCACAGCTCCCTCTGGACAGGGTACTTTTTCTTGGTGATATGTAGACCACAGACCCCTGACACCAGATCTTCCCCCCTGGTACAGATGGGGAAACCAAGGTACGGGGTGCAGCTGTGTGAATTGGAAAGGCCGTGCCGGGAATTCACAAAAGTACTATATAAAGGGCACTGGAGTCCTGATTGCCCTTCTGCTGCACAACCTCTAGGCAATGCTTTCCGAGGGTCACACGCTCTTCTCCCGGTTTCAACCCTTAATCAGTTCGTGCTATAAAAGAAGGGGAGGGGAAAGAAAAATTCTCAAAGGAGCCCAGAAGCCCTCACAAATTTCACCTCTCCCCCCTGGGCTGGGGAGTCGGGGCAAATAATCCAGTCCCACATCCACTTGTTCTGCGGTGGCTGGATTGGCAGCTGTCAGAATTGCCCCGCTGATTCCCTGGCCCATGATGCATTTTCCCTTCCAGTAAGTACTTGCTTGAACCCCCTTCCTTGGAAATCCATTCTCTCACTAATGCCACTTTCCATTCGTTTAAACCAGCCTGCACTGCAGCCTCTGTATTATGCCTTCTCTTCAGGTGATCTTGTACTTATTAAAAGAGGCACCTCGGCTCCTAGCTCAAATGTTATTTTGCATTATTTAATATTTTTTCTCTCAAATTGTGTGTCTCAGTAGCATTGGAGGCCTCTGGAGTGTTGGGCTTGGAGCTCTTCCCATGCTCCGTATTAGCATCTCTCTGCAAGAGGGCTTCATTAGGGACAAAAAACCCCTCCATTTCCCTTACCCCTGCGATTCCTTTCCTTTCCAGAAGATTCCTGTTCTTGCAGGCTGAGTGACCAGCGATACATCTGTGCATCACCGTGTATATATAGCTGCATGCATCTGTATCTAAATACTGCTTTCTACCTGTGGGATACCAAACAGTGACATCTCGGCTGACGGTACCTACCAGGAAAGAGGAGCCCTCAGTTCCCCTTAGTTTGTCTTTCAGTTGAGTATGGAAGAGTGTGGGGAGCAGATTTGTGATATACATCCCCACTTGGCATCTCCTGATGTTCACTAGCAGTATGTTTGTGCTCTGTTTGTACAGCACCTGACACAGCCTTCTCCGCTCTCGTCTCTGCTGAATAAAAGTGACAGTTGATGGTTTTCTCCAGAAATACAGGTCTGGAGCGTCAAGAATCACTGCTCACCAGAGTGGGTTTTTTTTGTTTGCTTGCTTTTCAGGCAGTATTATGAGATGCTCTACAACACAGCAGATGAGCTCTTAAACCTCTTGGTGGATCAAGGGGTGAAGTACACAGAGCTGGAATACATCTATGCCCTGAACTTACTGCACCGGAGCCAGACGGGTGTGGGAGACCAAACCACCCAGAACATGAGGTTGCAGCGGTTGAAGGAGATCATTTGTGAGCAGGCTGCTATCAAACAGGCCACCAAGGACAAGAAAATCACCACCGTGTAATCTGTTCTGCCGCTTTTATTAACTGAGTAGCAGGGCCTCTCAGGCTGCAGGTCCTGCGCATTTCTGTTATAATCAAAGGCAAAAGCGCCTGTCTTCTGGGTGGCATTGCATTAGCGAGAAGGGAAATGCCATTTGAAATTTGGTTTTGGGGTTGTTTTGGGAATTTGGATGTGTAATCACATAATGCTTCTTTAACACGTTCTTCCAAGAACATGTTCTCCAAGCAGGAACGGGCATCCTGGTGGAGATTTTGGGTGGGATATTTGGCTTTGCTCTGTTGCTGCTGCTTTGCCTTGAGATATAAGGCAAGCCGCTGTCTGGCGGGGTGGGAAAAGAGAAGATTTCACACTGGGTTAGGTCAGAGTCTTCAGTGGAAGTTCAGACCACGCTAAAGTAAACGGCACTATGACAGTCAAGCGCAGACCTGTTGGGCACGTGTTGAATCTTGATGGTTTTGAAGCCTCTTTCAGCTCTGCCAGTCCTATTCTCCGTGACAGTTGTAGACACATTAAGTTTTCTGCTGTTTCCACTGGGAAGAGATCTAGTTGCTTATTCCTTCAGATAGCGATAAGCCAAGTCTCGTAGTGGGAGGTAACATGGGACCATTTGTTTCCACTTCGACTTTTTCATTATCACAGAGCCATATGGCATTGGTTTCTACAGCGCATACTGCACTGGATGATGGTGGATGTACGTAGGAGAAAATTGCCGCTGTAAGGTAATAGCAAAACTTAATTCTCTTTTTTTCCTGAATATATCTTTTGAGTTTCCCCAGCTCAAAAGATATTTTGCAATCATCTTTGATGTACTGGAAGGACACGCAGGCTTATGTAGCTCAGCACTGGTGATCAGCGAGGTTGGGGGGAAGGCAGATCGCAGCTCTGCGGTCTGAGGCGCACTCAGGTCACCTTTTCTGCCCTGCCCTGCCCATGTAAAGCCACCTGGTAAAAGGTTCTTTATTTGCTGAGGCTGAGGAGTTTATACCATCCCTCCAAACCGAGAATACACTGCACTTGTATTTGCCAAGTAAATTGTCGACCCACCTGGGTTTCACATGCTGAGACAGGTTCCCTCTGAGCTGTGTAACTGCTTGTGTGTCAGTCTTGGAACTGCAAAATTAAAGGATGTTTAAAGACTCTTCAAAGGCTTTGTTTCTTTCTGTGTTTTTTTTTTTTTTAAGAACTGTTATTTTTGTGGTATTTAAAAAGATTCCCTTCCAGGTCCGAATTCATATGGTGTCCTCCAAAGTTACATCTGTGTGGAAGTGGTCTTCTGAGTCACTTAGTTTAATCCCCAGCTACCCCTTCTTGTCTTCTGGACAAGAAGCTTCGCAACCTCCATGTTAAAAGCAGAACCCAGTAGTTCTAGTTGTTGGGAATCTTCTTCTGGTTTCTATTCTCATTTTATTAATGAGCCCAGTTTTTCTTATGCCAATATTGGCCATTAACTACAACAGTTCCTTCTTTTCCTTGATGAATTTGCACGAGTGAGGGTGGAGAACACCATCACAGTAACACGTGTGGTGATGTGGGGGTCTTTCTGGGGTAACACACGAGATCTGTATTCACCTGCTCAAACATCAAGATGTGCGGCAGTGCAGATACAGGAAAGCAGGCTATTCGATATCCAGACCTTTGAGGGAGGTAAAGAAGCTGTTTGGTACACGTAAGACAGATTTCAGACCCTTTGAGGTACAGAAGTGATGTGTGAGGAGCTCTGAATTCAGACTGGGCTGCTGTGGCCTAATGTCAGACTATTTTTGATTCCTTTCATCTTTAATTGCTTAATAATCTGAGACTCTGCCTCTTCTTCACGTGGCTGATCTCGAGCTTTGCAGTCCACATTTTCCGCCCACCGAGCAGCTGTGCTAGCGGGTGCCATGACAGATTGCATGAAATCAAGAACATTTCATACTTGGGAGTATGTTTGCTTCCAAAGCAAATGATTTAAAAGACTCTTCTTTGAACTGCAGCTCACATTGTCCATCACACCACCACAAGATGTAAATACAAAGCCCTCACCCATGTCTCTGCACTGACCTGAGAATCACAGAATGGTTTGAGTTGGAAGGGACATTAAAGCTCCAACAATATAGTTCCAACCCCCCTGCCATGGGCAGGGACACGTCCCACCAGCCCAGGTTGCTCCAAGCCCCGTCCAGCCTGGCCTTGAACGCCTCCAGGGATGGGGCCTCCACAGCTTCTGTGGGCAACCTGTTCCCAGGTTTTGCTGGAATGCTGGATTGCGTGGCAGAACACCACCATGGCACAACCGTGGAGAGGAGAGGCAGTGACGTACAGGGACGTACCTAGAGCCTCGTGTCGAGGAAAGAAAAGGTTTTGCAATTGAGGTAGATACAGCATATAATTAGCTTGTCTCTCTCTCCTCAAGTGTTCAGACTCTCCAGTCCTCTTCAAACCTTCACAAGACAAGTTAAAATTCTCTCTGTGTATTAGAGCGGTCGCACCAAGGGCACAAAGGGAGTGAGGGTTACCAGAGGGCACAGAGAGGCGTGAGCAGCATGGGGCATGTAGGAACCCAGACCCTGAGCACCTTGTTTCAGCCACCCATTGACATACGCTGCACAAGCTTTCTTGCTGCATCACAAGAAGACACTGTCAGAAAGAATCATCAGCCTTTAACAAATCCTTACTGAAGATTTTTTCCCAGAAAGGTAGCTTTTGAATGCACCATGTTTTCTTGCCGACAGGTATTTCAGAAGTAGAACATACACAGTGAAGATGATGATGAACTGATCGTCCCCCTGTACATGGCACTGGTGAGGCCTCGCCTTGAGTACTGTTTTCAGTTTTGGGCCCCTCACGACAAGAAAGACATTGAGGTGGTGGAGTGTGTCCAGAGAAGGGCAACGGAGCTGGTGAGGGGTCTGGAGCACACGTCTGATGAGGAGTGGCTGAGTGAACTGGGGGTGTTCAGCCTGGAGAAGAGGAGGCTGAGGGGAGACCTTCTCGCTCTCTACAGCTCCCTGAAAGGAGGGGGTGGGGGTGGGGGGGTG